AAGGTTACTAACTATTTATAATGAATTTTGTTTGCTTTGATTTATTTTGAAGATTTTATTGTTAAAATAGGTAAAAGGTAATTATTTCAAATATTTTGTTACTTCATATTCTTAAGACCTTTATTTGTTAACAATGCATGCTCCTCGGGTTTTTTTATAGTTATTGGTGTTTCTAGTATTCATGTAAGTGAATGTACAAATTCTTATAAGAATAAATAATGTATTGTTTTTTTTACTATAAATTGTAATCACTTAAAATATTCTTGTCTACAAATACTCTAATCAAACTCAAACTCAAAACATATTTATTTAATAAATTCGTAGATCAACACACACACAATAATAATAATAAATCAATCAGGCATATTATTTCTGGTTGTTCTCGTCTTGCTAATGGCGAATATTTGCACAGGCACAACCAAGTAGCCAGGATCTTACACCAACAGCTTGCCCTTAAATACTATCTTGTGAATCTAGAGGTGCCACACTACAGGTATATGCAAGACCCAGTTCTCGAGAATGGTCGGGCCACGTTGTATTGGGATCGATCTATCACAGACAGCAGCAGATGCTGAACTTATCGAGTTAAATAAATAAATCTGCGTGTAAATTTGCCAGCAATAAATTGGATTAATTTGAAACCAGACTTTGACAGAAACTGGGGTGTTCGAAGTAGAAAATATGCAGAAAGAGGTGGAAAAGTCTCAGATCGAAATATCATCTCAGGAATAAAGATCCCGATTGAATAACATCGAAATTAAGGGTGTTCCGCTAAAACGAGACGAGAACTTGTTTTCAATAGTCGAGTGTATTGGTCGTAAATTAAACTATATCTTTCCCAAAACACAGGTGAACTATATTTTGAAACATTAGTTTAAAAAAAAAAATAGTTTCAAAAAACTAAAAAACACGCTTTTTATACTTACCTGTTGTCAATAGTAGAAAGCACCCTACGCATTTTTTCTATAAAAAGCGTGTTTTTTTAGTTTTTTTAAACTATTTTTTTTTATTTTATTTTTTAAATTAGTGTATTGTCAGCGGTCCTCGACATATCTACAAAGTTTGAACGAATTCTGACCGTTGAAAGTCAGTCATAATCACGCCCAAAGGAGTCGGTTACAAACAAACAAACATACTAGTGGAGCTAATATAAAGCGTATAATATAGTTCAACTATAGTTTCAAAAAATGAGTCTGTTTGCACCACTATTTTATTCACAGAAATACTTCTGTTATATTCCTTATGGAATTGTCCAAATTAAGACCACTATTCCAAAAATAAATATTCTGCTCTCACACACGACTGTGTTGAGGTATACCTTACCTGTTCACTCATGTGTTTATGTTTTACTGCTACATTGTAATGCCGGACTTTCAAGCATTGCTAATTTCTACCCTCTATTTATAATCTATAAAAATAAATAAAATTGAAGTGTCTGCTTGTAATGTCAAAATAATAAGCTTTTTTCATGCTCTCACGGTTTTTTGCACGATACCTAGGCCTAAAAACAAACTGCGCAGCCGACTGGGACTCCGCCCAGCATACGCTGGAGGACTGCCCCGCGTGGGCGTCTGAACGCGCGGTCCTTGTCGACCAAATCGGACGAGACCTGTCCCCGCCAGCAATCATTGCTGCCATGCTGGCGGGTGAGGAGGGCTAGGGCGCAGTGGTCTCTTTCTGTGCAGCTGTAATGCTCCAGAAAGAGACCGCTCAACGGGATCGGGAGAGGGCCGTTCCTGAACGTAGAGGACGTCGGCGCCGATATCAGCCGTCGACGGGGCCGCGGGCGAAGTAAAAAAAAAAGGCCTAAAAACAAATTTCAATATTTTTTGGCTGACTGTCTGTCTGTTTGTTCATTTAAGATAAATTTTTAATTTAATATTATTTTACTACCAAGTAGCTGTCTATACAAGGAGTGACTTAGGCTATTTTTTCTCTCAGGAAAACCCTATAAAATTTTGCCTGGTCCGGGAATTGCGCCGCTGACGTCACAACACAGTGGTCGAGCCAGCTACATGTACGGTGCGCCTCGCTAACAAAAGTATAGGTATCAGAAGACTCACCCAAGATGTTAACATCAGCACATACCCAGTCCTGGTCTTCAGAAAAACATGATAGTTCTTTTCCAAACATACTACCCACATCCGCATTAAAATCTCCCAGCATCACAGCACCCTCAATACCGCTGTCTTCTATGATTGAACTCATTACTGCCAAACACTCTGTAAATTCGGGAATATTGTCCACGCATTCGATTGGCATATACATTGACATCACCAGCATACTACGGCCCGCGAGATTCACTTTTATTGCTACAATACGTTTCGCACTAGACATTATTTCCACAACACTTGTGAAGATTGACTTCCTGCACAATAACGCAACACCACGGTATGGTCTTCCCGTCAGCGTCCCAGAGGAAGTATCGATCGGCGATACAGCATAATATTCGAAGTCATTATGTATCTGTTCCAGAAACCCCAGGTCATTCGGCAGCAACCAAAATTCTTGTAAAGCTATTAAATCGTAATTCTCACACAATTGTGTTACATAGGGCAGCGACCGTTTTACAGACTTGCAAATTATAGCTCACCATCTTTACACTTCTTCTTTCCTCTTCCATACTATGTAACTTTTTCTCCTGTTATCTTCCGTTTTCCCCTCTTTTGAGGAAAAATAAAATAAAAAGTATGTATTCAATTGACAATTAGTATATATGTATAAATTCAACATATGCAGTGAGTTATTGATACTAGTTTTTGGTTACTGTTTCGTTTTTCCCTTGTTTAAAGATTCTAAATACAATAGATTCCGGCCAAAAGTCTTCTTTTAACACAGTGCTCAGATCCTTTTTGGCTACCAGAACTTTAAACGATTTAAAACTTGTAGGTTTCTTTTGGTTTAATGTTTCGATTCGATATATACTCAGTCTATTATCCTTAAGGTAATTCTGTATATCAGTCTCCGTACACTCGTTTGCAAATCTTGATACATATATCGGTATAATTTGCTCTGCTGCTTTTAGTGTAGACTTTGTATTCGTACATCGCTTATTTCGTGACTGCGTTCTCGTCCTGTTATTTCTATACCCTGGTTCGATATAGTTTTCAATAGACTGCCGCTTTCTCTTTCTTTTAACTTGCGTAAATCCTTCGTCGTCCACATTTTCTTCGGTGCAAACATTGTCAACGGGGCTATATTGCATGTGGGAACCCATTACTGCTTTGCTAAAGTTTAGAACAGTATTTTGTTTCATTGGCTTACTTGGCTGCTGAGTATTTATCGTTCTTGAGTTTCGAACCTATAACTGACATGCCGATGTGCTCGAAACTGGGGGAATATTGAAAACTTGTGTTCGTTGATTTTCAATGCTGATAACAGAATTCTTCGTTTTTAATTCTTTTTACTTCTTGTTCTAACTTGTTTATTACTGTATTTGTTTCGTCCCTAAACGTCTGCATTTCGTTTCTTATTGTTGCTAGGGTCTTAAGCAAGCTACTTATGTCAAGGTGATCGAATGTTACTGGCGGTAGTCGGTTTAAATCGCACGCAACGAATTTTGGTGGTTGTTCCGCTTCTTTTATAATTTTTAAAATATCTGAAATGTTACTAGAGGATTTCTTTTTCCCTTTTCTTATTACTTTTCTTACATTAGCGATATCACACAAGCATGTTTTTGCACATTCGATTTCCTCTTCATTATACCACGAGCAGCAGATTTGCACTAAACTCAATTCGTCCATAAGTACCTACACTCTTGTTTGGTATGAAACACAATAACTCGTTGGTTACGAGGTTACATTCGCAATCCATTTTAGTTCGTCTTGTTATACATGACCTTTGTAACAATATTACGGCCTCTTTATTTATTTATTTTGTTTATTAAATGCACAAAACACATTACAATCAAGAAACATAAATCATAAATACATCGTTTAGATCTGGATCGTAACGTAACTCAAATGTACACAAAGAAAAACAATGAAGATTATACAAAAATTATCTCTGATTCATAATACTGCAAGTAATACAAAAAATAAGTGACAAAGTAAGCAAGCAGCAATTGTGATGTAGATTTGAATGCTAATCCAAACGCAGCCCACCATGGAGGATGTCTTTCACCAATTTAGTATATCTGTTATAGTTAGGATCAAAAACGTCTAGTAATTTATTGGATTTTGAGATATCATTATATTGACGGGCCATTCGCGAGTATATACGAGTATACAGTAAAAGACGTCAACGTCGCGTGTCGTTCCGAAGTATGCGCGTGCGTCACGGGTGGCAGACCGCGCGAGACAATAGCAACAATCTCTGTTTTGTGAAATACTTAGAAAAATAATTTAATAAAAATTATACTTATACAAAATCTATGATATGCCTGTGCCGATCTACAACTGCCCGTTTCCAAGGGCTTGAGCCCTATGAGAAGAAATCTAATCATCAGAGAACAACTGCATTTCAGATGTGCGATAGGAAACTTTACATTTGTAACCAGCCCAAACGAGGAAAAAACTGAGTCTGCCACGTTGTTGACTGACGAAGAATGAAATAAAATGAAATCAAATTGTACCTTTTATTTAAAGGATCAGTAAAAGTAATTGAAACGTATTCACACTTTTAAATTATAAACGTATATTTAATTTACAGAAGTATTCTCATGAAATTAAATTCACACAAAAACTGTATAAAATTCATATTAACAACATAACTTATATAACGGTTGTCTAACTAGAATGATCATAATTATGGATTCTGACGTGAATTTCATAAATCTTCAACAATTTTGTAAATATTTAGAAAATTCTAGTACCTTAGGATAAGAACTTCACTAAATTGTATTGAAATTTTAGGAACGGTTTTATTTGCATGTATATTTTAAGCATACCTGACCAGGAGTGTTGTCTTAACCCTTGATTTTTTTTAATGGAAGAGGGGGCAAACGAACAGACGGGTCACCTGACAGAAAGTGACTACCGCCGCCCATGAACGCCTGCAACTTAGGAGTCACAAGCGTGGCCTTCGACGGAGGAAGGCGCTGTTTCCTCGCAGGAATGCGCTGTTTTCTTGCAGGGATGCGCTGTTTCCTCGCAGGAATGCGCTGTTTTCTTGCAGGGATGCGCTGTTTGAATGGGTTGAGGATTGGGGTCTTTCTCTGTCGGTAGATGGTGACGGTTGCAGTCTTTCTCTGGGTGAGAGGATGGATGGTTGCAGTTTTGCGTTGGTTCTTGGTGTTGATCAGATGCAGGAAGTTCACATTTTTTGATTAAACCTTTAACATTAGATAAAGTCGAGCTCACTTCCTGTGGTCCACATGATAGGCACAGCAATGATACCTGACAATAAAAATTAAAAATTGAAATATCAAAAATAGCAAACAGAATTGTAAATAAACTTGTAGTGGCGATTTCCACCAAGAAACAAAGTCTCGTCGAGTATCGACACTCGGAGGAGACTTCGATAAGGCTTTGTTTTATGGTTTGTGGAAGTCGCCACAGAGTTATTATAAGCTGCCTGCAATTTCAAACCTTTCTTACACTACACACAACTAGTATTAAAAAGGCATTTATTAAGTTTGTTCGTCATGCTTCTACATTTTAGCACAGAATACGAGTACGTAAAATATAACATCAAGCGTAACTTCGCTTTACAGCTAGTAAATTACTATTTACGAGTACTAGCTGTAAAGCTTAGAGAGCAATATAATCTAATTCTTTTATATATTTTACCTACAATAAAATTTAGTTTTCATTATTTCATCCACTAAATTACTTTTTGCATTTTATAGGGTCGAGGAATTTGCACTCTTAGACTGAAATTGAAAAATAAACGTTTCTGCCTCTTCAAGTGTATACCATTTATAAAGGTTTAACAAGTTAACACACAAAGTTGAAATCTCTGCAGTAATTTAATAATTTTCTAGTTTTTTTTAACAAAAAAGTTGAAGTCATGCTTGGATATATTGTGCTTACAGTTATCATAGTGATTTACATGAATTAAACCAGGAATTTTAACCACCAGCACCAGCACAGCACACATCAACACTGTATAACTTTACTTTTTTTTCTTTTCTTTATTTTTATCGAATCTTTATTTAAGCTCAATAATTAATTTTTTTTTGTTATATAGGTAGCGAACTAGCAGATCAACTGATGGTAACTACGGCCGCCCATAGACTTCTGCAACTCAAAGGTAACAATTGCGGTACCGCCCGTCCCCATAAACGTAGCCTAGTGGTTAAGTTGGACTTGCGATCAAGTGGTCGTCGGTTCAAATCCTGACCAGTACACTACAGACGTGAACCCATTCCTAACACAAGTAATTTAGCTTAGCGGGGTTAACGTGAATACTAGTAATTTCGGTTGCTAGTAAACCTTTAAGGCGGGAAGGGAGGTGGGATTGGAGGGGGGGGGGGAAAAGCTTCGGCAACCTCAATCACTGGTTTTCTGTGAGGCCGTGGTGACACTGTCTCCCACAGCTAATTTACATACATTACTCATACACAAATATAGATACAAGATATTTACAACAAATAAATTCATTTCAACAACAAAACTTCAAGACACTTACCAAGACTAATATCTTCACAGTCCACATTGTCGCTTGGCCGATATCGATTGAAGAACGAAAAACTCATAAGAATTCCACCTTTTATACTTTGCACATGTTTATAATAAGACTATTCTTCTGCCCCCGTTTTGTCTACAACCATTATATATATATAATTAAATTTACCTTTTACTTTCGGCTAGTTATTCGCAGCTTCGGAATACAAGAATTATGTTTTGCAATACTGCAGCATTAGTTAAGTCAAGAATGGCGTAGTGGCGTACTGCGGCGTAAATTTAGTGGGTTCGATCCATGACCAAATTACTTGACTGCACGGATGGCGTAGTGGCTTAAGCGGTCACTACGCCGCTTACTACTACGCTGAGTGTTGTGGGTTCGATCCCATTCCAAGGTGTCGTCCCATGGGACGACACTTTGTGTGATCCACTAATTTTTGTTCTGAATATGGGTGTTCTTTGTACTCCTTTCATGAATGTTTTTAAAGTCCCCCGCACAAATATTCCTAGTGCGAATTTTGTCTGTAAAAAAAGTGAAATAGCCAGGAATTGTGTCTAGAAAAGAATTTACTGCTCACGGAAACACAGACAAAGAATATATATTAGACTTGCAACGAATATTCGGTTACTATTCGGTATTCGGCATATTCGGCTGCTTTTATTAGGTATATTCGGCCGAATACCGAATATCTACATATTATTCGGCCGAATACCGAATACTTAAATAATATATTTTGTCATTGAGAAATAATTGGTAAAATGAAAAATTTAAATCGATTGATTACGTATATATTCATATTTTCATTTCTGTTATAATCATTTAAGTAGTCATTGGTGCATAACACAGGTACATAATCACCTTCTGAATTGGAAAAATGGAGGATTCTATGTATTTGAATTATTGTGGTAATCAAAATTTAGAAGGGTAAGGTTCTCATTTCTTTTATAATCATTTATTAAGTAGTCATTGGTACATAAAACAGGACATAATTTAATTCACGTCTGTACAAGTTTTTGGCGCTAAAATCCAGCCGAATACTTTTGCCTAATATTCGGCTATTCGGTCAGGGGCCTCGCCGAATATTCGGTATTCGGTATACTGCCGAATATACTATTCGTTGCAAGTCTAATATATATATATAAACATATACATATATAAATAAGTAATACAGTGCAACATATGTACGTTTAATAATCCAAATAAATAAAAGCTGTTTTTTTATTTATATAGGTTACGAGTTAATAGCCAAGTGTTTTGCACTAGGTATGTCAATTGTTTATTACCACACAGGTGACATAATATCATGATGTAAATTATAAATTACAATGCGTTAACACCGTCTTTTGTACAAACATTTTTCATATTCGTATTTATTTCAATCAGATACTAAAATCTATTAGTGTAAGTAATTTCTTATGCTAAGTTAGTTACTCAATATATCCAAATATTTTAAAATTGTACTAAATTAATTAGGTTCATATTTTTTATTCAATTTGTTGTTATTTCTTATACTAGAATTTGTATTTCCCAACATCATCACATCATCATCAACAGCCCTTAATAGTCCACTACTGGACATAGGCCTGTCCTTAGAAAGGAGGTTTTGGCCCACTATATATAAATATATATTTTTGCAGTGCTGTTGTCCTGCGGAGTTTGCTCCCTTAGTCGGCTCTTACGACGCCCAGGGATAAATAGGGAGGGTGACATTCCGTATTCTAAATCCGTCACCACACGGACTAGGTGTACTAGCCAACATGTGTACATTATTCCTATGCCTCATTATAGGGCAGTCCGGACTCTCTAATAATGTACTTAGAAGAGTGCTGGAGCTTCGGGGTACAAGGCGCATCAGTGAGGCAACTCCTTTGCTAATAATTGTGCAAAAACAATCAACTTTATCCTCCGCAAAGATTCCTGAGGCGCTGCATACCTCACCCGAAATTTTGCAGAACCTCGGTAGCCTCATCAGCATTATGAAACTTTTATTGTACTGGATGCGTAGAGCATTGAAAGTCTTTTTTAGTAATTAGTCCAAAGGCTGCTGGTATAAAGTGTTTGACAGTAAGATTTAAATAGTATTAACTTAACTTCCAGCAAACCTTCTAATAACGGTATTACACTTAAACGACAAGGCTCAATAAATATCCTCATCTTCTAAGAGGTCCTCCGACACCCAAGGGCAGAAGTATTTAAAGTTCGTGACGCTTTTAAGCGGTATATCTCCTATTTTGACCGGAGGTACATTATTGGGACACTTTTTTCGAGCCTTGAAAACAAGTACTCTTGGTTGTGTTGTACTTTAGACCATGAGACAATGCATACCTCTCACATATTTTTACGAGCACGTAGAGAGCTCTGACCGAAGGACCCAGCAGAACCATATCGTATACTATTGTTAACCATCTTACCGTCCTTCGAACAACCGACATCAGTTCTACTGAGCCCCTCAATCAGACTGTTCACATACAGATTAAAGAGGCTGGGAGAGCTGAGTCCGCCCTGTCTGACGCCGCACTCCGGTCTGTATTGTGTCGAGTGTGAGCCAGCGCATCTTAGCGTGTTAGTTTGGTTATGGTACCAATAATTCAGAAAGTTGATTACTTCACTAGGAGTCCTAGTATCTCTCGACACTAGATCGAACGCCTTCGACAGGTCCAAGAAACAGGCGTACACAGACGTTTCTATTGCTGTATAAAACTGAACGGTTTGCTTTAACCTCAGTATTACAGTTTCAGTAGAAAGTGACACTCATTTTCTAAGAAGTTGCCCAAAGGTGTATTCCAGCAAATGATTTTTCTTTATAAAATAATTGTTACTTACTGTTTTTACTTACAGTACAGGTTTGGGATAAGGATATTCATAGACAATGTAAATGTTTTAAATAAATAAATAATAATAATAAAAATAATATTTTGTATTAGTTTCGCTGTTGTACGTTGTACGGTTTTATATTTATATGAAGACAGGACTATATAAAATAAAAATAATAACTGTACTACTACTGTAACTGTAGATAATGTTTCCATGCATCAAATAAGTCTATCTTTGGGTTTGTAAAGTGTCATAGCATGCTCTGATTTTTGTTCATAATTCATAGCTATTAAATAGTTGAAGAAGAGGCCGTAATGTCTATTTAATACAGACAGATATGAATATGTGCTTGGCATTTTGAGGCACCAGATATTTAGATTAAAGTATTGTTACGAGCCGGGAACTCGATGAATACTCGTATAATTATATTAATATCATATATCGGTGAAGGAAAACTTGACACAGACCATACCTATACCCACCCGTCGGGCCAGCGTGGTATAGTAGGTCAAAACCTCCTTTCTAAGGAGCGTCCAACAGTGGTCTATTGAAGGCTGTTGATGATGATGATGATATTTCGGAAATGTGGCAGACAACGCCATCTAGTATAGTAAAACTAAGCATAACTTGTATTATGATACTTATATACTTTTTTTTGTAAAGACTTACATATTATACATAGAAAACACCAAAACTTGCATATCATACAAATATTAATTCTCTCTAAGATAAGACTATTCTATTAATTTATTGCAATGTGCAATATTCAAAAGAACTTCCGCAAAAACTCTAGAAAATATTCAAATATAAAACCATGCATTACACTTTCTTTTTCTTTTTTTTTCCGTGCGGAAATCCCCTCGGATACCACCTATCGGTGGCATGTCGGACTCGAACCGACTAAAACCGCACACCGTCTCGGGTACTAATAGCCTGGGAACCAGGTATACCCTAGAAAGGAAGTCCCTGGTGCCCCGACATACCTCGGGCCATCTACAGACGAGTAGACGACCCCCCCCGTGTGGGAACCCCATATTCCCTCTGCTCTCTGGAAGCGAGCGCGCTTCGCAACGAGCTCGCGGCCACCCCGGCCTGCTTCTACTAGGGTGACAGATGGCCTCACCTGTCACCCCCAGGCCTGAGCTTATGGAGAACGGAGGTCGTTTTGCAACCTCCGGCGCCTGAGTTGCCTGCGGTACCTGGCACGTTTCCGGTCCTGGCTGGACGGGAGAACGAGAGGGAATAGCCGCAATCAGGCTATCGAGCGAGAGAACTCCCACTCCGATGGCCGCCACGAGGTCTCGCCTCTGCTCAACCCACGCCGGGCACTCTGCCAGCGTGTGGCCATCGCAGTGGTGGCACTCAGGCGTTGGCTCCTTGCGGATCAAACACAGGTGATCACCGAAACATCCTTTCCCAGTGATCACCTGCGTCAGTCGGTATGAGAGGGTCCCGTGACGCCTCTCGAGCCAATCCTCCATAACGACTCTTATGACGGCGTGCCCGCCCATGGATTACACCTGGACTCGTTCGTTGCATAAAACACCGAGACAAACTTCACCAAAAGTCTAAATTAGAGCGTGAAAATATAGTGGTTCAACACCATTAAACTAGATTGATTTTTGAATACGAACACAAACGCGGGTTGCATGCTGGCCCACAACTATTACTGGCTACTGCTGGAGACTAGGACGAGTTATAAACCTGTTCCCTGGACCTGATGGCGTATCTCGCGTCGCGGACATCAATACCATGAGAGGAACCGTGCGAAGACCCCTGGTTCGCATCTGTCCAATGCCAACGGAAAAGGAGGTGGTGAGTTGAAACATTCAAGTTGAAACATTCAACGGAGGGAGGATGTTAACGCCGTATACGCCGATAGTTTGTCTATGCTATTCTTATCATTCGTATCGCATCACTGTGCATTGTAACTACCTCACAACATTTTTTTCTTTTATTTCCGACGTCCGAGGAGCGAGCATTGCGATACACAAAATTGTAAAAAAACAAGTTAGCTTATACATTAAAGCCCTGTACAAATCTTGGGAGTATTTTTCTTTACTACGTTGAAGGCCCAACAACCAGAAAGTTACTATATATGAACTAACATCACAGGCCTACAAAAACCCTACTCAGATTTGCATACTTTCACAAAAAAATATATACTGGTATGGCGATTCCCACATACAAAGAAACTGAAACGTACTACAGCGCCTTCTAACTAAGACACACCGAACTACGGAGTAACTCCTGAATAAGATCTAATCTGGTCTAATCCTGTATCGCGATATGAAGAATTCTCTCGCCAATTAGCATATATACAACTTCTCAACATCGACCGTTAGGCCGCGGCCCACCAGGCATGATTATTTTGCCTGGTCGGAGGATGTGGGGCTCCCTTTGTGTTGGAGGGACATGCTCCCGTTCCTCCACAATGGTGGACACCCCGACAACTCAAGTTCAATGAAGAAATAAACAAATATAAAACACACGAAATACGACTTCACAGTAAATACACAAAAAAAGTTAAAACAGGCATTTTAAAATTTAAAGTCTGGAATAAGCTGCCTTCGTCTTTTTTTCCTGAAACTTGTAATCGGTTGAACGTTTACGAGTAGACAATGTAGATTTCTCTTCGATACGCGTATTCTTCTATGACATAGAGGGGTAAATGAGCAGACCAGCAAGTCCCTTGATAGTAAGTTGCTACCGCCGCCTATAGATACCGGTAACTCAACAGTCACAAGTGCATTGCTGTAATTTCAGTCCCTCCTTCCAGAATTAGGGGGAAGAGAAAGGTTTCAGCTCCGGTAACCTCACTCACTCGGTTATAAAGCAACCGGAGGCCGTGGCATCACTCCGGTCGAAATGCTCCATATGTGCCGAAGTATTGCTCTCCCATAATCTATGATCATCAATGTAACGGATGACGGTGACGGATTAAGAATACAGAGTGTCACCATCCCTATTCATCCCGTGGGTGTTGTAAGAGCCGACAAAGGGAGTAAACTACGCAGGACAACGGCACTGCAAAGAGCAGGAAAACTTGAAATAAACCCTATACCAACCTGTCTGGCCAGCGTGGTGTACTAGGCCAAAACCTCTTTTCTAAGGAGAGGCCTATCCAGCACCTGTCCTAGTCCAGCAGTGGACTAGTAAAGGCTGTTGATGTGATAATGTGATGATTAATTCCAGTAAATAGGAGGATCAATCCCTATTCTAGTACCCAATTATTACTATAATAATAAGAAAACAAATACACAAGTAAAATTTATACCTTCATTTAAAACATTATTAGGAATTAGCTTCCTCCGCAGTTTCACCGCTTGTAAGAGCCTGAGTCCTGCTGCCTGCTTGTAACGGGCTCAGCCTAACGTTATAATCTTCCTTGAAGAATATTCACTTTACAACATAAATAATCTTTCAAGTCTGTCGTATTATAATTTGGAATTAGAATTTTAAGATTTTATCCTTGTAGTTTTTAGTGTGTGGCAAATAGATTTTACCATTAGTTTCATGTTTTCTGACTTCGAGATAGTGGTCTTTTTAGGGAATGTCATAAGTCTAATTTATAATGCTCAAAACGTTAAGCGAAACATGACTTCTTAGCGATGATGTCCTCAGCGCCATGTCTATCCCTTGCGAACATTGCTATGGGTTTCAGTTACAAGGATGTGACTGAGGAACCCAAATTTGGTTTTAAATATTTGCTTACTAGTCATACATATTTATTTAGACATTGTTATACTCAAATTGATGTTTTTTCAATCTGAAATTTGAATCTAAATAAATAAAACTAACTTAAAACTGCCGCGTTCCGTAATTTATTATGTATTACAAATACTCATCAGAGGTACACATCATATAGTAAACGGCGGTAGCCTAGTGGTTAAGGCATTTGACTTGCGATCAAGAGTCGAGGGTTCGAATCCTGACCAGTACACTACCGACGTGAACCCACTCCTAACACAGGCAATTTAGCTTACCCGGAATAGGTACTAGTAATTTTGGTCGCTAAAAAAACCTATTAAATTACCTGATGTCACAAAAACAGATTGACGAATTAGTAATAACGACAATAGCTACTAATAATTTTTAATGAATAATTTTAACAGAGGATTAATATTGTTTACAGTTTATATGTATATAGCTAAAATATATTTTGTTTCTGATTAAAAGGATTATTTTCAAACATGCTTTTTATTTAATCATATTACGGGACATAAATTCAATTTCAGGGAATACAATCGTGTAGTTTATAAATTGTATAGGTAACGTTTGCACGTATTGTATTTTAGTATTTTATAAGAAGTGGTTTAGTTGGTAACATGATTGTATTCCTTATAAGTAATCAAAGTAACTGTTCATAATTAAATGATAAAGCAAACTTAAGGTTGAACCTAATTACAATTTTCATTTGGGTTTACTACAGCTGTCGATTTTGAAATGACCGTGTTCTTGATGTTGGCTGGATTATCCGGCGCCGCAGGTGAAGGTTGCTGACATCCCGGGACTTGCTGCTGGCATGGCTGAGGTTGGTCAGGAGTTCTTATAGGTGTATCATCGCCGAATAGCAAATCTTTGAATATCGGAAAAATATTACCATGTACGCCATTTGGCGCAGTCGACAAGAACAACACTGAGACCTAATAACAAAACAAAAAAAAAAACTTTTCAATTATATAAGCAGCGCTGTAAAAGTGCATATTTGTCAGTACACCAATAAAACCTTAAAAATCATACAAATGGTTACCATTCAAACCACATGGTAGACAATAGACAATACCAATACTGCGACGTACAACGCAGCGCTATCCCAAGGTACACAAAGCTTGCGCTGTGGAGTCTTAAACATGGATGAAAGCATTTAGATAGTAATTTTATTTTTGTTATACATAATCATTATACAAAGAGAAGGAAAACTTGACACAAGCCCTTTTTTTTACGTGTGGAAACCCCTTCGGGCCGTCACCCCACCGGGGTTTGCGGCGGGGTGGTGTGTCGGTCACTCTGCGCCTGTAATAGGAGGGATCCGGGAGCGCCTGCCTATAAGGGCGCGGGCACCACCTTCGGGTATATTCTCTATTTAGGCGACGTCCGGCACACGCGGACATAGCCTCCTCGCGGCTTACCGTTATGGCGGGTGGAGGGGAAACCCCGTTGACATAAGCCCTATACAAACCCGTCTGGCCAGCGTGGTATAGTAGCCAAAAACCTCCTTTTCAAGAAGAGGCCTATGTCCAGCAGTGGAATATTTAAGGCTGTTGATGTGATGATGATGAAACATGCAGAGAAATAGGCTTGCCAATATTAATGTTCAAATGGAATGAATCGATCCAGAAATCCCTACACGGTAGTCAAATGTAATAATCATCACCATTTGTTCATCGCTGAACACAAGTCAATTTAACAAATATTCAAGTTGATGTGAATATTAGATTATACGAAAATCTGGTCCGGTCTCTTATGGAATATTGCTCTGTAGTAGGACATCCGCATTATGAAGTTCATTCCAATAAAATTGAACGCCAACAAATAATAACCTGGCATATAAATTTAACTAGTCAAAGAAGCTAACTAGTTACACAAACCGACTAACTTCTTTCAACTTAACATCATTAAAAAAAGGGGGCAAAATTTTAGATCTTTCTCTTCTTCACAAGCTAGTTAACGGTAATATCAATTGTAATAATCTGTTAAAAAAACTGAACATCACTATCACCCATAAACTTCCACGACAGTCTAGATATTCCTTGTTCACACCTAAGCGATCCAAAACTAACCTTGGCTTTTTCTCTCCTCTAAATAGGCTCCAGGCAGAATATTATATTCTATTAGTAAAAATAAGGATATCGATGTGTTTAGATTAAGTTTACCTTTTTTTTTAAATATTAATATTGTTAAGCTGAGATATATTTTATGTATAAGGACTTTTGTTTGTTGTATGTTGTAGATTTTTAAGTAGTTATTCTGTAAGAAAGTGAGAAATATAGATAGATAGATAGAAATCTCTTTATTTGTACACCGTTTTATAAGTAGGTAGATAGGTAAGGGGGGCCTTATTGCTAAAAGAGCAATCTCTTCCAGGCACGTAATTATGACTCCATTCGCCAATGCGCGATATTGCAGCATTGATTTTGTTGAATACCTCCGATGACAGGTTAAGCGGAGCTTGTGTATATATTTGTAAATCATCTGCATAAAGGTGGTAGAACGAACTTAATTGATTAGAGATTGAGTTTATGAAAACAGCGAAGACTAAAGGAGATAAAGCGCCACCCTGTGGTACACCAGCAGAAATACTGCACCAGGAAGACAACGAGTCTTCAATTCGAATACGCTGCGAGCGACCAGATAGGTAACTATGAAACCAATCAATTGTCCTTGGAGATATGTTAAGAGACTGCAGTATACCAAACAGATTGTGAAAATCCACAGTATTAAAGGCGTTGCTAAAATAAAGGAATGTGAGTACCGTAACCCTTCCCCTATCCATGTTTAGTCTGAAACTATCCGTAATGTGAACAAGTGCTAAAGTCGTGCTGTGACCAGGACGAAAGCTGGATCGGAAGGGGTTCAGTAAAGAGTTTTTGAAAAGGAAGTTACTCAGTTGACAGTGGAATATAGAAAGAAACAATGCTCCTCTATAGAAAGAAACAATCTCAAACCAGCAACCACGAAAACACGCGAGTTACACTGTTTTGTGTTAAAAGAAAGAAAGAAAAACATTTTTATTGACAACAATAACAAAAAAGCTGGTAGACGAATACATTTATGTGGATATATTGATTGTAAACAAAGGGAAACATTATTAAATTAAAGTACTACTTTTTTATTTGGTTCGCCTCCAATATATCATTAGCCTGGTTGTAATGCGGACAAAGCTTAAATTTGTTTACTTATTCATTTACAAGATAACTTACAAATTAAATACAAACCCACTGACACTAAATAAAAGAATTTCATTTAAAAACTTACCATAATGAAAACGGCTGTTGGAGCTCCCATCTTTGATTTATCAGGAACGACAAGTTATGACTATTAGTACTACACCACACGTCTGCGATTTTTATACTATATGTGTTTGTATAGAACTAACTAACACACCCTTGGATTCAGCTGCATGAATTCTGAGTATATTTTAAAAGCATATCTTTGGATGCTCTTTGGTTTTTAGCTTATTGTGTGTAAATATGTGTCTTTGAATCTGAAGACTACTGTTAATTAAGGTTTGTTTATGACCTCAGTAGGTACTACTTGGATATATTAGTTTTAGGTATATTGCACGTTATTATATGTTTGTAATAAATAATTTCGCAATAAAATGCACTCGCAAATACACTCCAAATTTCTCCTTTAGTAGGTGCTTGCGACCCACCGCTTGGGTCCGTTTCGTCTCAAGCTTGTCGGGCATCAAACAGGGTCATTAAAGAGATGTACGGTGAGTAATACCGTATATTTTTTGTTAGAGAAGGTTAGTAGAATTTACTTACTAAGCGTTATTGGTATACACAAACAAACGGGGCCCGTTTGTTTGTTTGTAGCCAAATGGATAGTTACAGGAGTAACTGCTCGGATGGCTTTTGCCAACTCGAGGTGCAGAAATCCGGCAAGGGTAGGACGTCCTTGGGTTATTGCTTTTATATCTTTTTCTTTTAATCTTCTAACATAATTTTTAATTTACACCCAATCTTTCCACTTTGTATTCTAAAATAGCCGTTTGGCAGCAATTGGTAGTCGCTTACATATTTTTTTAAATTTCCACTTTCTACACTTCTTTTACATACAAAGGTTACGTATTTGAAATACGATATTTGTTTCCGTATAAATAATTAACAAACCGTTTTCGTACAAACAAACAGACAAATATTACTCTTAATACTTGTATGATAAACTGCATTATACGTCAACAGAAGTAGAACAATGTAAATTGTTATTGGTGTTGCACAAACTGTTCAAATCAAGTGTTTTTAATACAATGTACATATGTAATTTGTAATACATATTTGACGTTACACTATTGTACGTTGTTTAGTTTAATATTTATTTATTTTATGCCAATAATAACTGCACTACTACAGTATTGTTCATATTTATCAGTATGGTCTATTTTTCACAGCGAGTTAAGCTGAAGTTTTCGTTCTGTATTTTAGCTACTAAATGGTAAAAGAACAAGTTTTAATATTTATTCCATATAGACTGAGGTATCTCTGAACTACGTAAATGTGTCCGAAAAATGCCGCAACCTTTCGTGGAGAGGCGTATTTAAAGGGCGGCCACGCACTTGTGTCGCTTACGTTGCATTTGTACATGGGCGGTGTCAGTCGCTCCATCATTATCATTATTAACAGCCCATAATGGCTTCCTTATCACACGGATATCAGGCACTTACTACAAAATGTATAAAATGGTAAAAATACCGAATTAATTCTCGTTCATTACTCGAGAACCTTGTTTTTGCAGATTTATCTGTAATCTTCTAATCCAACAATTGGTATGGTATATATACGAGAGGGTTTTCAAAAGTTTGGCAATGTGTATTTCAAATCCTTGATGTTGCAGGCGTTGATAAGCCAGTTGATAGGTCTAGGATAGTTTTTAGAACATGTAGTTGCATCAGCAAAACGATCTGTGAAACAGATTGTAGACTACAGCAGTACGACCCATACGACCACCATACGACCCTTTATTCGTTCAAGAAAAGAGCGTACTCCTTCCTAAAAAGCCAGCAACGAGTTTGTGACTCCTGAGTTGCAGACGTTCATGGGCGGCGATGGTCACTTTCAATCAGGTGACCCGTCTGCTCGTCTGCCCCCTCTAACATAAAAAAAAGAAACTTGGGACATATGAGTTGCAAAATAAAAAATTTAACTCTGGTCATTTTCCATCAAGTATCCCGTCGGATCCTTTGCCCTCCCAATAAAATAAGAGGAATAAGGTCCCAGTTCCTCAAGAGAATATTATCTCCAGCGATATTTGTTGATATTATATTGTTTAAAGGAGTAGCGCAAATAAAAAATACACACGTAATATAAACTTTTATTTTAATCACACACCGCTTTTTTCAATCACAGCTAACCAACCATTAAAAAGAATAACGTTTGGTGACCCGAAATGAGGATTTTGGCCAAGTTTTGTCACCAGATCGTGTGCGTTGCCGAAAAAAGCGGAAAAAATAGAAAATAAATATAGGGTATCTAAAAATGTGAGAATCTAGAAAAACACTCGTCTAAGCAGAAAGCGCAAAACGGAATTAGTCTTACTCAACAGCAATAGACGATGAACACGAATAAACATTCACTAAATATCTGTTAAACTCTAATAATGAAATTCGAACTTTTTCCGCTGGGGCAACGCACACACCAGATCGAATAGTTGTGGGCTGCTTGTTTTTATAGAGGCATAATAATATTTTCTTATTCTTACAATTATTGTAATAGAATATTATGCCTATATTATTATATTGTCAGTGTTTATAGAAAATGCTATTTCTTACAACATTGTAATATGGTCATGAGTTTGTTAGCCCGTTGTAGATCGGCACAGGCATATCATAGATTGTGTGTTAATATAATTTTATTAATATCTATTTTGCTAACTATTTGACAAAATAGAGATTGTTGCTATTGTGTGTGTGTTGATCTACGACTTTAGAGTCTACATAAAAGACGATTTCAAACAATTTTTTTCTTTTTATGAAATAAAGATATTTTGAAGTTGAATTTGTTATAAATAGACCTCTCTAATCTGTTCATTGTTAATTCAAAATTTCGATTTGATTCAAAATTTCGATAACATTCCTTAATTCCTGTAAGTAGGTTCAATGTGCTCTCGTAATTTCAAAATTCACTGTATTCTTTTAAATTTTTGCGCATTCACGTATGATACACAATTTTGAAAATTTAATCAGATTTACGAATTTTTTGAAATATTACTTAACAAAAGTTTTAGGACTTACAGATTACATGATATCCTTACTTTGGATACTCTGTAGCCCTGACTTTTTTACGATACGTTACTACAAGTATGTCGCAATTTATCATGGTTATTGGAATTTTCCAGCTACGCTCCTGGAAAAAGTAACTATGTTATACGAGTAGGAACCGCTCTTAAAAACATTAAGAGCGTTTGGTTACAACTTCACCGCGCACGTCTTACTTCTTACTTATTCTGTATTGTGTGACTCCAAAGTTTAAACGTATCTATTACAAAACAATCATAGTGATTGTCGAGTTTTGTACTCTATTCTTGTTTCTGTCGTGAGGTTAATGCCGAATATAACATAGTGAAGGGAATTTCAACTAACAGAGTGACCGGTAAAGCTAGCAAGTACGTGACGAATGTAGTTGTTATGGTATCTGCAGTCTGCAAATGTAAAGAAACAAATTATAGGTAAAATATTTCCTGGTTCCCGTACCTCGGTATCAAGGATTTTTTGGGAATAGAATCTTACCATGCCCAGAGCATTTCTGGTGATTGGTTGTAGTGTGGAAGCCGTGAACATCATGTTGACGCACCAGTGTAACATCAAGACTGAAAGTGATGAGCGACCCAGCGGGTACCAAATGCGCCAAGAGAATAAGAGGTTTGAAAAACCTGTATTCAAGAATTATTATTCAATAAAATTAATATTCATTAAGCAATGCCGAGTTAGGATAAACATTTGGTAACTAGAATATGTGAAAGACGAGACAAAGACAAAGACAAAGATTTAGAATCCACATACTTTTACATATTTCTATTTTGTCTGATTACTTCATTACAGGTTTTCTATGCCATTCTATCTTACTCGCGGGCCTGGTATCTTTAGTGGATCTTGGAACATAGATGTCATATTTGTCAAGCATTTAACCAAACCTCATTTCAAAGGAGAGGCCTCTGTACAGCACTAGACTAGTAAAGGCTGTTGATGATAATGATGACGATTTACCCAAATTGTGTGACCGCCGGGTTAGGTAAATTATTTTTAACAACATAATTTTTATGGTTTGTTTATCATAAATGCCCATAATGCTGACACTCCCAAATGGTCAGATGATATCCCTATCCTAATGGATTTTCTAATTTTAGAGCTGTTAAAGTCTCGACTTCGTTTGCATAAATGAGACTTCCGGTATCTTTTAACTTAGGTCCGCAGGACTCCTCAGGAGGGAGCTGAGGTAATGGGTTGAATTGAGCTCACTTAATTTACGGTACCAAAAACTGATTTCAGCACCAAGGTGGTATAAGGCAGATAGCCGGCCGGCAAAATCTTTTGCATCAGTGCAATGTATAAACATACATTGCACTGATGCTCAGTAAAATATGCTATATGCAGGACAACGATACGATACAAAACGAAAAGCTGAACTATATAGTAACTATTTTGTAAGTATTCCCTTACAATTACTTCTATAGAGTGATGAGAAATCAAGTCTGGCGTACCTTTTGTTGGAATGTTGGCCGTGTGTGTTTCTGAAAGTAACGAAATTAATTAGTAAGTCATGTATTGTCATTGTCATTGGTCATTCTCAGAACTGCTTGACTAGATTATCACAAATGCATTTCTTAAATTTTAGTATGTTAACAAAACGGACTTTGCTTTTGATATTTTAGAAATTTTACTTAAAAAAAAAGAGAAAATTTCGCATTTATACAGATTATAAACAATTCTTGTTAAACCCAAAGTCTAGTGTTACTCACAAATATGTAAACTAAGCTACTTTTTAAAACATAAATAGTTCTGGTCAAACTTTGTTAAATCAATACTTACTCATCTTTTTCTTAAGAATTCCATGAAACTCACTAAATAATAGCATGCCCGCTGATATCACGGTCACTAGTCTCTCAAAAGCCATGTAAAAAGCAGAGAATTCTCTGGACATGTAGATTTGCAGAAAGTGTCCACAGGTTGTCCAAATTATTAACATAAGAATACTCGTGTAGAACAACCACTAGAAAGTGAAGATTAGTTAAATTAGTAAGTGGTAAAGAACGATAAACAGGCAGGACACGCTCATCAACCAACA